TTTTTTAGTTATTTGAAGTTATATAAAATAGATGCCAACTATTGGTACATGCCGGACTTACCCTATAACAACAAAATATATTTTTAGGATTACGTCCATCGATATCGATGTCGATGTTTCGATGTCTTATAAAAATAAAGTATTCTTATATATTTCATTTTTACAGAAATCTATAGAAAATAATCATTAAAATGATAAAAAATCACAATTATTACAAAAACTGCACTTAGATAATATTTTCTTAACAAAAATGGCAATATGATATTAGAAAAAGAAAATCAAGTAATGTAAAACTATTTTGCAAAATTGGAAAGAATAAACAAAACTTTATGTGTATGTATAATATAATAACTAGTACCCATTCATCATAAAATTGGAGAAGACGAAGAAAAAAAATGTATTATAGAGAGATTTGTTTTTCGTGTATGTGCAACGTCGTATATAAATCTATATATAGTTAGCTAGCAAAACAAGCAAGCTGACACGATAAAAATACATATACATGGGTAGTTGCTGCAAATACATAAGCGTGTCGTATAACTCGATTGAGAGGTCTGTACGATGTACGTACGTACGTACAATCGTATCCAATCTACTCTCCACCATCATGAACAACGGCACGAAATTCGATTCTGCTTATTCTGTCTGTCGGTCGGTGGGATTGTTGTACGAGCCGAGCGATGGCTTCAAATGAATGTGATTTTTTGGTATTTTTATTTCGAAAGAAGAAACACTCGTGACTTGAAAATTGAAATGGTGAAACGAATTGTCGTGTCTACCTACCTAACTCTCCACTTTAGATTTATCCTCATATAACATGCAATAAATAATCCATTTTTATTACAATTGAAAAATAATACTAATTCAATTTCTGTTTTATTTGATCCAAAGAAGTAGGGAATGTAGCTGATAAGTTGGTTGAAAGATAAATTTATAGAATTTATTTAATATTTATTTGTTTTATTTATTATTTATATGTTTTAAATAAATCAATAATTTAAAAAATATATATGGTTTTTTATACTTTTTTTTATTATTTTAATACTTTAAAGTGGTGATTGCATAGTTCATTTACTTTGATAATAGGACATTGCCCTTATCAATTTATGTTTCATTTCAAAATACAATGAATACATACAAAACTACTCACTATGACAAAGCGACAAATTATTTTTTCCTCATTCTCAATAATTATTAATGAATTATCTATTTTATGTATATTATAAATTGCAAAAGTCTATACAATTTTATTATATTAAATTTAAAATGGTTAGATAAGCATCACCTGTAATTTTGTTATACATATTAATTAACAAACAAGTTTCAGCAAATTCGTTTGAGACTGTCTTAGAATAGAGAATAGTATTTTTCACACCTATAAATACTACTGACTAAAATCGGTCTGTCATTTCAAAATTGTCAATTTGCTGTTTTTAATTTTAAGACATCCTATAAGTGTTCTGTAGTCTAAAGGTTTATACAAGTTATTATTCCACAAGTTCGTTCGTTAAACTACAGCACAAAATTTCATTTTAGTAATTTAACTACGTTTAAAAAATAAATGGGAAAATAAACACATAATCCTAAACAAACGCACAAATATAGATTCCTATACCAATTTGTTGGTCTCTACCAATACACCTTTCCCTTAACACATTTCAAGATTACGTATCTATTCGTTCAACCACGACCAATATTGTAGCTAAAATACTTGGAACTAGCAACATTGAACCTGGTCTATAAAACAACAATATGCGTCATTTCTTGAGACTTTCGTTTATTGTCTTATATCAACAACAAAGGTATTGAACTAGCTGACCAACTTGTTCGGCTGCTTCAAAGTCGACTGATATGCCAATCAACGATTTTCATAAACATCGTCAAAGTACTCCATGGGTAAAATTAACATCGAAACCAATACTTTTCTTCTATCTCTGTAAATATATGAACACTTATTACGGTAGGCTTTGTCGTCGTACGCCAACTGTAGTATTCGTAGTCGTTTTTAGTCGGAATTATGTAAAATTTAAAAGTTCGCCAAATTTTGTAATACGTTTTTACTTTACTCTGTTACAAAATCGAAGCAAAATCCATATTTTACTAAATGCAGGACCATTTAGTCCACCCCAACAATCCAATTGAAATCATATTTCCCAATTATAGAAGATACCAAACTAATCAGTTCACCAAAATCCAAATTGTACCATTTACAACACATTAGTAAAAAATACCCAAAACTTCCTACATACCCCAATCCAGGGACGTACGCAGGGGGGCGGCCCTGGGGGGGCCCCCCCCCCCCCCCCCCCCCCGAAATGAATTTTTTTCACAGTAAATTTATATTTGCAACAGAGAATTTTTTCATTTTGTACTACCGGGCCCCCCCCCCCGAAATGAAATCCTGTGTACGTTGCTGCCCCAATCAAACACCTCAACAGTGATCCTAAATCCAAATTTCAGAATTCCAGCTCTATCGGTTTACCCAAAATTTAAATTGTACCCAATTTAGTACCATTTAGTACGAATTTCCCACACTATCTACAATTATCTACAATTATACAATGCAGTAGTAATCTTATATCCAAAATTGTGTGTTCCATCTCTATCGGTTCACCTAAATGCAAATTGCACCAAATATAGTACCAGTTAGTATTTTTCGTTCATATAAGTACAAACTTCCAAAAACCACCTCCATATATCGACCCTACGTCTCAACCTTGATTGGCATTCCAAATTTAAATTTTTTAGCTCTATCCGTTCACATGTTACGAAATTGTACCATATTTAGTACATTTTAGCGCTCTTCGGATACTTTTAGTTCTAATTTCCAAAAAAAAAAAAACTCATTTCAAATTTAATAGCAGGAGTAGCTCTACTGGTTCGGAAACATATTGATTACTTCCCAAAAACCAAGCTTTATCTGACACCTTTGAACTAATAGTGAACTTCGCCCCAAATTTCAAGATCCTAGTTTCGTCTGGGCGTTGATGAATCGTTGAGTCAGTCAGTAAGACATTCAAATACTTTACACTGTTATTAATGTAGATTGGAAAAAATTACGTCATTTACTTTGATTCCAATTAATTTCCTGACAAGTTGATTTTTTTGAATATTAAGAATATAATAAAATTAATAAAGTTCTCTTATCCACAAATCTACAACATGGGAATATGATATAATATTAATCTTGAATCTGTCTATCTTTGGACAGAGTTTAGTTCGGAACTCTATTAATGTTCCGTGTTCTTGAAAGGCACTTTAATATGTAGGAAACTGTCCAACCGTTTCATGTAAAGCAGTATCCACTGACCTGCCATTCTTATGAACACGTTGCGATTTATTGATCTTGTCTAGATCAAATCAGTACCTTATTTAAATATCCAGCAGCATTTATAGTGTTTTAAGTAGAAAGGATGGTAAACGAATCCATCAATACTTTTGGTAAATCGTGACTTGATATTCCGACCTTTGGAATGAAGCTCACATTTACCACCTACCATGATACACACAGGTAATCACTAACAATCGCTTTATGAGTGACCAATAATCGGTTAGGTCAGCTGCATGTAGCAGCATGGTTCCGGAGATTTAAAAGGTAGAAAGCCCTGGGTAGGTTTTTAGTCTATTTTTGTAAGCCCCTCAAACTCCTAGGAGTCTTTGATGATGTGCTTGTTGTTTATCGAAATCCTTACAGCCGGAAACATGAATTAAATACCCCCAATGGATTTGGGGTCCTTAGATATAACATTACGAAATCTGGTCGCTCCATTAACCCCTTCAATCAAATTGTGGATCTCCTTTTTATGGTTCTTTACAAACACTCCAATCAGTCCTACTGGCTTTGTGAAAGGATTTTCGTGAGGATCTAATTGACCTATATAGTAGATAATTGCATAACATCGTTTATTAGAAGTCATATACCAAATTCGTTTCATATGACATTTACAAGTTGACTCATGTGGGAGACATCAAAAATGGATCACATCAAATACTCCACTCACGATGTTTTCAAAATTTTAAAATAAATTCCACGTCCGGATATGGTCTAGATTAGGCAGAAATGTCACAAACGCATTTTGGACATTTTTTAACAATTTTGCCAGCGGCCTTGCCTACAACGATATGGGTTTTCCTTACGGTATTCTATATTTCTTGCATTTCCTCATGCTTTTTATTTCCATAAATTTTAAAAATGACTGTCGAATTCTAGCGAATAAAATTCTGATTAAAAAAAAAAATTGTCGAAGAATTCCATTCTACTCTAAAAGGGGAATTGTGCCGCGTAAACGGAAAACGGTGTTGGCATCTGTCCTTTTAATCCTCCGTTGAATTGGGGATAACAGCAACAATCTCATGCAGTTTTATGCTTCAAAAGTCCCAATAAAATAAATATCTGCATCATTTGTAAATACGCAATAGTAACAAAAGCCTCAAAGTAAACTTTTCCCAAAATTTGGAAAGTTTTCCTTAACACAAAGCTATGTTCCACAGAATACAAAATTGGAGTCTTCGATATGTGAATATCTTCCATAAGTATTTCAACGACACAATGGCATCCATAGTATTCCTTTAACTCAAAAACACATGGAAATACAAAAGAAATATTTTTTTATATAAAACACAAAATAAGCACATGTTATACCACTCTGTCTGTCTCCCTTACAAGGGGGTTGGTTTCTCGGCATTTTGTAAAAAAAAATTATAAAATAATCCATTTATCTTTAATATTACACTTCACCATTTCTCATTAACGTCATCATCCTCCTTTTAGGCATATAGAACACTTACGTTTTATGATAATTTCTTCCATTTGGATGGATGGTGTTATCGTTAATTGTTCCACTGGCTCCGATTTAATATTCGTTATCATAGGAGGCATATGTTGTGAATGTTGTTGTTGCTGCTGTTGAAGACGATGATGATGTTGATAGTAATGATGCTGCTGCTGTTGTTGTTGTTGATAATGATGCTGCTGCTGTTGTTGGTGATGATGATGCAGCTGCTGCTGTTGTTGTTGCAGATGATGGCGTTGACTTGTTGGTGTTGGTGGCGGTTGTTGTTGTTGTGAATATAACGAACTATGCGAATAGGCATCATAGGCTGCACCTCGGGCACCACCAATTGCCAGCATAGACGACGGTGCACCAACCCCACCACCATGTTGTGTATTTACCATTTCAAGGTCATAAACTCGGCTACGACCAACAATAACACCACCCCCTGTGCCAGGCCCCGAGCCAGTAATAACACTACTTCCACTGGCTCCGACATTCGGGACGCCACCCACACCCCCTCCGAGTGCTGAGAAATGTTGTGCCGAAGCCGATGATGACGACGACGACGAAGAGCCAGATGCCGGCATTGACGATGCTGTGTTGTGCGTTGAACTTGGGCCACCTGCACCACCACCCACTCCCACTGGCATACCACTAGCATAACCACTTGTAAACATATGTGTTGGTGGTGGTGGCGGTGGTGCTGGCATTGCATGACCATGTTGCGGTGGGTGGTGGGGATGATGATGCTGTTGTTGCAAATGGCGGGAATCTCTTATGTGGAGACCATGGTGATACTGTGGCGGCGGTGGCTGCGCTTGTGGAGGGGGTATAGTTGCTGCCGAATGTGCGTTATACCATTGCTGATGTTGTTGTTGCTGCTGGTGTTGCTGAGCAGCAACATGATGAGAACTGGAAGAGGGTGGCGGAGGCGGATGTCCCGGCTGATGGGCATGTGTATGATGCGTTGGAACTGGCGGAGGATGATGCGGATATGGGGCATGTATGTGATAATGTTTACGCGGCTGGTGTTGTTGTGACATTTTGCAATTACCAAAAACAACAACAACAATTCCAGCCTAGCCCCCAAAAATCAACAAAAAGAAACGAAAAACAAAACAATTCCAAATTAATCACAACAGCCGGCTTTAGAACACCAAACGTCAAAGACGGCGTAAATAACAAACAATCAACGTAGTATGTATGTAAACAACACTTGTTAACGAACGACGACCGACCGACCTACCGACAAATACGAACAGCGAGCCCGTTGTTTTGTTATTTATTTGCTAACCAAAACAAAAACACTCCAAATTCGGCCTCTCACTCTCTCACGGTATGCTCATTTGCCGCAAAGTTATTTACTTGTGTCGCTCTCTCGTTATATACCATTTTCCCGTTTGGGTATGTGTGCGTGTGTGTTTTGACTTAGGTATATGTATTCATTTTTTGCTGTAATCTGACTTCCCAATTAGACAATTTTTTCACTTTGAATTTTTCCATTTAATTTCTCACATTTTTCGGAAAATACTCATTGCAATTGTTGTGGTTTTATATAAATTTCATTGGGGAAGCAATAAATTTCCATAATTTAATGCATTTTTAGATTTTATTTTGATTTTTATCTTTTTGTAGAAGCACTTGAAAAACTTTCGTAGTTTTTATCCGTATCTAATCTTTACACGACCACTAGCTTTAGCTTCACTTTGACAACTGTCTAGTAGGGACCAGTGTGTCGACATTTGTTGGCAATTGACTTGTGAGAGAATGTGAATGAAAGAAAAGAGAGAAATGACAAAAGTTTCTTAAACTATGTTTACACCGTAACCTGTTATGGGGATTGCAGCTCATTACGAAGTTATTACTCGTTTACATGATACAATTATTTAAGATAGGCCATGCAACTTATAAATTACAATTTTTTCATACTGTGGCTTTTAATGCCAAAGTCATATACAAAATCTGTGACTGTGTGTGTAATGTTTTGAAAAATAAAAGAAAATATATTCGAAAATCGATTTGTTGGAAGATGCATTTTACACCACTTAAGCGGCATATACATTAGAACTTTTTACCGGGTTAACCTACTTTATGAGGATTTATTTGACATATATGCAAAGGAATTGACAATTGAAACCCACTGGGTTAACGAAATCCGGTACAATTTTTTGTTCATAATCATTGAAAATTCCTAGGAACTTGATTCGTTCTTATTTTTTATGGGTTGTAGAACCATTTAATAATTTAGGGTACAGTTAGTCCGCTTTTCCGCAGGCAAATTTTTTGTATTCCCTTTTGAAATTTTCGCTTTTTTCCACTAGCAAATTTTTCTTTGCCAAATTTGCGAATCAAAATACAAAAGAATGAAAAAAACGTCAAAAATGTTTGCAATTTTTTAATATTTTATTTATTTTTTATATATTTTATTATATTTATTTATTTTTATTTCCTTTTTTTTTGTTATTTGAATTTTTGTGATCATTTTTGAAAGTGATTTTAAGTGATTATTTATACTCTTTCGCAATTTTTTGATGATTTAAATTTTGCATATAAAAGGAAAGCCATTAAATAATACAACCACTATCTATCGTACTAAATTTAGTAGAATTTAATACTTTTCGTACACATTGATAAATATTTCCATAACATAATGTCACTTTTATAATTTTGGAGTTGTAGTCCTACCCGTTCAATAAAATTCAATGCTATTATGGCATGACTATGCGTAAATACTAACCCACTTGCATAATTTAAATTTCAGACACCACTTAAGAACTTTTTGTTCACCTATAAATTTTCCACAAACTCAGCATTATCACACCCTTCGAATCAATACAAACCCATATAAAATTCTAGCTTCAGATAGAATTTTAAGTATCACACGTTTCTCATTGATATATAGTTATATATTCTTAAAGCCTATCTTGTATGTATATACATAAACTGGTGTCGGATAGATTTTAGTTCATACCTTACGGATTATCTTATTAGTATGTTCCTTATTTGAAACAATTTTACTTTTTATATTGGAAAGTACGCATGCGATTTTCTTATCAATAATAATTCTTATTGGGAAAGATCACCAATCAGAACAAAATTCTAAAGCTTTGTTATGAACTATTTCTGGCAAATCAGAATCCTCTACTGGATAATATATACTACACTAACCTATGGTTTACATAAATTAATACCACAAAAATTTCATTTTATATCTTAAAAAATAAATTTATTTTTTAATAACAACAAATAAAAAAAACAATTATGTTATTTTCGGACCCCGTTCGCCAACACGTTTTCTCAACAGCTCCTTAACTTCCTCGCCGTCAGCTACAACATCTTTTTCGGCATGTTCATCAAGTATTCTACGCAACTCTTTCTTGACATCCTGAATGCGTGCGGAATTTTTTGCAGATATTGATAGAATACGTTCAAAACGTATTACTCTTTCAGGTCGTATTTCTGCTGGACATTCATTCAGCTTTGCTTCTAAATCTTTAATATAAGGCTTTTGGGCTTTCAATATTTCCGAAGAGCCCTCAATGTCCATTTTATTCAACAAAAGAATACATGGTTTGTCCAACAATGTGGGGTCATACAATTCCAATTCCTTATTGAGCGCATAGATATTTTCTAAACAATTACGGCGTTGATGTTTTGGACTCAATTGAAAACCAAATATATCGACCATGAACAGAAGAAGGCGGGTGCGTTCAATATGCTTCAAAAATTTATGACCCATACCAAAGTTGGCATGTGCTCCCTCAATTAAACCCGGTAAATCAGCAATGGTTATTGATCTTAGATCAAGATATTCTATGGTACCAACTTGGGGTCTTATTGTCGTAACTGGAAGATATTAATATTAAAATATGCTTAACAGAAATTCCAGTGTTGTGTTCAAACTTACATGGATATGATGCAATTTTTGGATTCGCCTTAGATATGGCTTTCAAAAATGTACTTTTGCCGGCATTGGGAAAACCCACCAAACCCACATCGGCAATTAATTTCAAATCTAAATTTATGGTTTTGTGCTCTCCTGGTTTTCCCAAGAAATTGGTGCCCGTACAACCACCAACACCTCCCCCGGCTGCAATACATTTCGCACCTGGTTCATTTAGATCTGCCAGCAATTTTCCATTATCATCATAAATTTGTACACCGACTGGTACTTCTATCTTCTCATCAACTCCACGTCGTCCCAAAATTCTTATTTTACTACTGTCTTCGCCGCTAGAAGCTGCCGCTTTCTTTTCTTTAAATCGCTGGGCCAATTGTTTAAGTGTTACTCCCTCCTTTGCCTCTAAAAATACACAACCGCCCTGACCACCAATGCCTCCATATTTGGGTAAACCATTACCACCATGGCCGCCTTTGACTGTTAGTCGTAGTGTGTCCAGAAAGGCATTACGCATATGAGCACGAGGTGGCTATCAAAGAGTAAATATATTAGATAAGCTGCACTTGTAATTGGATAAAATTTTTGCATACCTTTTTGGCCGCCTTCAAGAGGAAACTAAATATTTGCACCATATTTTTAATTCAACTTTTCATTCATAATCCGTTTCAGTGCAGTTACGTCCGGTGTTTGGAGATGCTCTTACACCGTTCATTCAAGTGTTGTATGGTTCGATTGACCGAAAAAGCGAGCGAACCATGTTACGAATTTGAAGGTGAAATAAACTATATGAAACTCAGCCATGTTGTTTACGAATGGGAATAGGCAAAATCAGCTGATATACAAACCTGGATCACACATTGTGATATTTGTCAACATGTGATGTGAATGAGGATTGCATTAGTTGTGTTCCCAAACCTGCAATATACAAACGCACTTTAAACAACATTTGACCTCAAATTTATAGTGGAATTTGATATTTATAATTTTTTAATTTCGTTTTTGCAAAATAGTCAGGCTTAATCCCAGTTTGTTGTTTTTTTTTTAAAAAACAACTATTTTTATTTCCCTAAATTCGAATTTTCGGGTTTCTCTGAAATAAAAATCACCTGAAAGAGAGAAAATCCGATGACATATAGAAATATCCGATGATATATATTGATCTAAATATTGCTTTAATAATATAAATTCAACTATATAATCATGGTACAATAATACAAGGTAGGACTACGTTTAGACTACTAAATCCAATCGATCTCAAATGTCAATTCCTTTGCGTGTGACGTATATGTAATTATGTTCACAAATCCAGTGGATTATATTTGACATATACGATTCGAAAATCATGAGTTGAATAACAAAAAAAGCAACTATGTAGGTGGTGGCTTCTTCTGCCATATATAAAATAAATACATGCAACAAGTGATTGCGTTTATGTGACATTTTTCAACACAAAACTAAAAACGCGAAAAATGAATAAAAGGTTATGATTTCTTTCAAAATTCAGTACGGAATACCATGAAATATTTGTTTCATCCATAACAAAGTAATTACTTCTATACGGACGCGTTAAACAAATCATTTTCATTTCAATTAAATTAGAATATATTTTGAATTTTTTTGACATAGTATTCAAAACAATACACACACAGATGGAACAAGCCACCTTGAGAAAAAATTGTAATCAGTTGGTAGCTGTGCCCTACCTTGTAATAATTATACCATGGTATATCCTCCAACTGATGATAGAGGTGTCGAAACCTTGAATATTATTCGAATATGCATGTCTGTTAAAATCAAAATAACCAATGAAGAGATTTTAATATGCCTTTTCAGATTCTTAGAGGGTAAATACTACTTTACAGACAATTTTTCGATATAGGAACATGATATTGCTAATTTGTCAAAGTAGTTTAACCCGGTAAAAAGTTCTAATGTATATGCCGTTTTACCCCCTGTAAAAAGTGTGGCCATTTTTGGTATTTTGAAAGTTTTTGCCGAATTTTCCACACACAACGAATGTAATAGAGTAACTTCGGGTAATGTGGACTATGCGTCTAATGTGGACCACCCCCATATCTAAGAACATGCTTGAATATGTTGATAAATGTTTTCCTAATTAGTGAAAACAAACATCAAACTTGGTTTTTGATAAATAATTGCAATGTTCAAAATTTAGTAGTAGAAAATGTAGCTCTCATTGTAAAAGTGTGTGTTTGAAAATTTTTTAGCACAATAGTCGAACGTTTTTTCAAAATAGTCGAACACTTTGTTTTTCTCGAATATATAAAAGTTATGTGGTTTTCTTGTTTTCTTTAACAAAAATAAATTTTTTTTAATAAAAATATTCAATATAAAAAAGTGCGACCTTTTCATGAGGACGAGTTCGAAAAATGGGCGCATTTAATATGCGAGGAGGTATTCTATCCTCTGAAAACTCGATATGCGAAATTACAGGTGCTTCGGTTGAATAATGAAGCAAGGACCTTCAAAATACCGCAAATGGGGCGGTACCCTTAAATGGGGGCTATTCCAAAACATGAACCCATATATTTTTGCATTCATTGTTACCCAAGAGTTATAATTTATCACAACCCATCCACAACCTACCTTTAACTTACTGATCCTCATTACCCACACATACTGGTCCACATTACCCGCCAAGTTATTTTTATTCGCAGTTTAGAGTTTTTTGTAATAGAATACAACAACATTTTTATAGTCAAATATATATATATATATAATGTTTGACCTGGAATATATTTGGAATATTATATATTTATTTGTGAAAACAATTTGTTTTTATTTTTTTACCGTTGGTACGCCCACAATATCAAAAAAAGAGAAGTTACTCTACTGCTTCTTACTGGAAACAATTTTGATTGCTGTTATTAATATTAATCTAAATTGTACGTTTTATTAAAAATACAATCCCACAATTTTCCGAATTTATAAATTTTCATTATGTAAATAGGCTAAATCATGGTATAATAATAGAAGGTAACAGCAAGTGTTGTTGTACAACAAACAATACAACAACCACATAGAAATTTGTTGTTGTAAGTTTTACTAGTATCGACATTATTTGACAAACAAACAAATTATCAACAAATTATATTTATTTTGAAACTGAAATATTTTCGAATGAAAAACATGAATGAAAATCTATCAAATTTATATTTCTATCGCTTCCACATCTTTCCTATAATTGAGCCATTGTCATATATATGTGTAACACATATGAAAATGCTGGGAATAGCGAGTTATTCCTTGAAGAAAGATTTGCTTCCTCAAACTTTCCCAGCAGGCAGATTCAGTAAATTGAATACGGGAGCACATTTAATAAAGAACAATTTCAAATTGTATGCGTTCCCAATTTTCCTGTAGGGTGATTTTTAAAAACATAATTTGTCAAATTCATATTGACACTAATATTACATTGGAATCAAATCAGCTGGGATTTGCTGTTTATAATCCTTTTATGGTACAATTATAATCATGATAATCATGGTACAATAATACTAGCATGGTACAATTATACAAGATAGGGTAGGATAAAATACGCCTCTACCTGTAACAAGTCTTTCTGTTCATTTGATATATGATTTCACAAATCATACATTTCTTCTTATAAAGGTTGTAAAATTCATCTTCAAATATTTCAAAACATTGCACACACAGTCACACAGCCACAGTATGAAAAAATTGTAATTTATATGTTGTTCAGACTATTTTTCGATATAGGGACATGGCAAACCTTAGCCTCCGTAAAAAGACCCGCCCAATTCAGTGTTATGAAAGTTGTATTCGAATTTTCCAGGCACAATGGCTGTAATTTTGAATTGGGAATAATTTAATTTGCACGTTTTATTATAAATACAACCCTACAACTTTCCATTGTGTAAATAGGTTAAATATTTGAAGCATATTAAAAGTTGTGAATCTCCCTTATATTGTTTGTTTACTTTTATTGATTTCAGTCGACATCTGGCAGAGCACGTGTAAGCTCTGAGAGAATTATTTGAGAAAGGTGGAATTTTTTTTGTGTAAATAATGGAGCCCGGCATTTGTTATATTAAACCAGAGTAAATATAAAATATCTATTTTGTAAGATTTTCAGCATCTAATTCGGTTTCCAGATTTTTAGTGGAAGAAGTGAAGAAACCAATAACTGACGATGATAGCAATAAAAGAAAACACAGTGAATCGATTGAAGCAACAAATGAAGGCAGCGGAAACGGTGATGCAAATAAATTCCAAAAGAACAACAAAAAGGAACGTAAGAGGGGACAAAATAAGGTAAACTGAGGATACAATGTACATAAGACACTGTTTTAATTTTTATATTATTTCCATAGAATCGGCCGGTCTACAAAGATGATCGTGCCACACATTTGTGCAATACCTTAATTAATGGTCCCACCGATAAGAAATGTGCCCTGGAAAATTGTCGTTATGTCCATGATTTGCAACAATATTTGGCTGCCAAGGGTGAAGATTTGGGCGAGAAATGTGTGATTTTTGAAACTAAGGGATTTTGTCCCCGTGGCGTAACTTGTCGTTTTGCAAAATCTCACTTGGATGAAGAGGGCAGGAATATCAAAGCACCACACTATGACGAAAATACACCACCGTCAACATTCAATGGTATTACATCAGAATTACAAATAAAGCTTCGCAAGAGACAATATGATTTTTCAAAATGCAAGAAGTTCATCAGACAAGCGGAGTCTATTCGGGATAAAAGAAAGGCAGATAAGCAGCAAGAAAATGGTAATGGAAAGGAAGAAAAAGAGGTGGCGGAACCTGAAAAGCAGGATGTGGAACCAGTGGCAGAGCCAGCGAAGGAAGCCGGGAAGGAGGTAAACGCAAATGAAGTGAAAATGGAACTGGATGAACCATTGGAAGAAAATAAACCTTTGGGTTCTTGTGCGGATGATGATACCAAGGGCAGAGATGCTGTACGTGTACCACCAATTGATTTTAAAGAAAAATTGGTACTATCTCCCCTAACAACAGTGGGTAATTTACCATTTCGCCGCATTTGCAAGGAGTACGGTGCTGATATAACCTGCGGTGAAATGGCCTGTTGTGTACCCCTGGTCAAGGGTATGACACAAGAATGGGCCTTAAGCAAACGCCATGAGTCAGAAGATATTTTCGGTGTTCAACTATGTGGCAATAATCCAAATATTATTGCTCAAGCTGCACAACTAATGCAAGAGACTGCCAAAGTGGATTTTATAGATTTGAACATTGGTTGTCCCATTGAATTGATATATCAACAGGGTGGTGGTAGTGCCCTAATGAGACGTACCAACATTCTGGAGTTAACGGTGAGGTCATGTTCAGCCCTCAATCCACAAATTCCATTTACCGTGAAAATGCGTACCGGTATTTATGCAGATAAAAGTGTGGCTCATGATTTGGTGCCATTGGTAGAGGAATGGGGTGCAGCCGCAGTAACGGTAAGGATTCAAACTGATAATATTTTATAAATTATATTTTTTCATTTTATTATGTATTCATTTTAGCTCCATGGTCGCTCAAGAGAACAACGTTATACCCGCAATGCCAATTGGGAGTATATTGAGGAATGTGCCGCCAAAGCTAAGCAAATGCCCATTATTGGTAATGGTGATATATTGAACTTTGAAGATTATACCGAAAAGAGGGTAGGTTTTAATAGAAATTAAAGTAATCTCAATTTTGTTTAATTCGAAATATTGGAAAAATTATTGTTTACCTTCTAAATCCAAACAAGAAAAATCTCTATTTTGTTGAATTCAATTATTGTTTATCTAAATTCCAGAAAATCGCTCCCCACGTATCATCTGTCATGATTGGTCGTGGTGCCTTAATCAAGCCTTGGATTTTCCAAGAAATCAAAGAACAAAAACATTTAGATCCTACCTCTACCGAACGCTTCGAAATGATGCGTAAATATGTTAACTATGGTCTGGAACATTGGGGTTCCGATACCAAAGGTGTTGAAAATACCCGACGTTTCCTATTGGAATGGCAATCGTTTTTGTATCGTTATATACCATATGATTTAATGTTAAATCCACCACAAAAAATCAATCAACGGCCACAGACATTTATGGGTCGTGATGAAATGGAAACGTTAATGAGTTCGGCAAATTCACAGGATTGGGTTAAGTTAAGTGAAATGTTATTGGGCCGAGTACCAGAAGGTTTTACGTTTGTACCAAAACATAAAGCCAATTCGTATTGAACATTATAAAACATAATACATGATTGCAATGTGTATTGGATATATTTTAAAAAATTTAACAATGTATTATATAAAATTTGTTTATATAAGAAAATAAATGTTTTATTTAACAATCTGAAAATAATTTGTAGTAGATTTTGAAAGTTCTAAAGAAGAAGAAGAAGAAAGACATCTTTCAGGGGGTCTATAGAAGGTCATCTGAAAAATCAGATCGCGCTCCATTTTAAAGGTCTTAGAATATCTTTTGGGAAGATTTTTAAAAGTCCCTTTGGAAATGTATATGGATGGCATTTTAGAAAGCTCTTTCATAGACCTTTCGAAAAGTCTTAAGTAGACATTTAAGTAGACAAACGTCTTCAGAATATCTTTTGAAATGTATTCACAATACCATTTAGAAAGATCTTTATTATACAGTTTCGAAAGGTATTGAAAGGCAAGAACAGGTATTCTATACCGTTAAAAATATTTATAGAAGACTTATAAAAAATATCTATAGAATACATTATGAATGTTCTTTAGAAGAAATTTTGAAAGGTATTTAAAAGACCTTTTGAAAGGTCTTTAGAGACCTTTGAAAGATATTTAAAAGGCCTTTTGAAAGGTCTAAAGGCCTTTAGTAAGGTCTAAACAAGGCCTTTTGAAGTGTCTTAAAAGAAGTGTCTCAATAGAAGATCTTTTAAAAGATCAATAGAATTCATTTTAAACGGTCAATAGATCTTTCAAAGGTCAATAGAAATCTTTTAAACGGTCTATAGAAGACATTTTCAAAGGTCTATAGAAGGCCTTTTTAAAGTACTATATAAGACATTTTCAGACATCTATAGAAAACCTTATAGGACATTTAGGAATTGGTCTATAGAAGAAAATTCTATATAAGACATTTTCAAAGGTTTATAGAAAACCTTTATATATCCAATAGAGGATTTTTAGGAATTGGTCTATAGAAGACCTTTTCGAAAAATGAATAATTGACTTTTTGAAACTATAAAATATCCTTCGGATGGATTTTCAGAAAATATTTTAAAAATGCACTTTAAAAATGTCTTAAAACACATTAATAAGTAATAAACAATTGAAAATAATTTTAAAAAATTTATTTTTATAAAAAAATATTTTAAACCAAAAATAGAAAAAAAAACATAAAAAACACAAAGTCTTAAAATAATCACAATATTCGTGTGTGTATGTCTGAGTGTACGTCTTACAACTTCTTAAGCCTTTTGATAATAACTCAAAGCTTCTTCAACATCCAATTTCGAACCCAAAAATATTGGAGATCTTTCGTGAATCTTTTGTGGTACAATATCCAAAATTGGAATTTTACCATTGCTAGCCAAACCACCGGCTTGTTCCATCAAATAAGCCATTGGATTGCACTCGTACAACAAACGCAATTTGCCATTGGGTGCCGATTTGGTAGCGGGATAGATGAAAATACCACCGTATTTAATGGTACGATGAACATCAGCAACCATAGAACCAACATAACGGGCACCGTATGGCTTGCCCTTGGTGGGATCCTTTTTGGCGGCAATATAATTGAAGACACCAGCTTCCCAATCGGAGGCATAACCTTCATTAATCGAGTAGATTTTGCCCTTTTCGGGTACACGCATATTTGGTTCGGTCAGGATGAATTCACCAATGGCAGGATCATAGGTGAAACCATTTACACCGGAACCTTGACCCAAACTCAAGACAATGGCGGTGGCTGAACCATACAAAGCATAACCAGCAGCAACAATTTCACGGCCAGGTTGCAAAGCATCTTGGACGGTGGGGGCACCTTCGGTTTTTTTGCGGAAAATGGAGAAGATGGAACCAATGGAAACCAAGCAATCAATGTTGGAAGAGCCATCCAAGGGATCGAAGCAGACAATGTATTTGCCCTGAAAAGAAAAAAAGATTTATTTACACACACATTTATTTGAGGATGTTAAAATTTACCAACCTGTTTCTCGGTTTCGACTTCAATGACATTTTCATTTTCTTCGGAGACCATCAAGCAGGTGGTGTACGAAGACTTCAACATGTTGATGAACAATTCATTGGACAAAACATCCAATTTCTTGACTTCTTCACCCTGTACATTGACATCGCCAGCAATACCGTGCAATTTGGCAATACCAGCCTTGCGTACAGCCGAAGCAATGGCCTTAATCGAGGTTTGAATACAATTCAACAATTGAGACAAATCACCGGTGGCATTTTTGAATTTACGCTGTTCCTGTAACACGAAACGTGTCAAGGTCATGGCGTTGGAATCGAAGGCTTGGCCTTGTTGTGTCATGTTGGCTGAAAATCACAATGAAACAGATAAATTATAGAAATGGTACAAAAAAATAAAAAAACAACAACAACAAAAGGAAAAAAACAAAGAACAGGCTGGCTGAAAAACGGGTTTGCAGGGTTTTGGCCGAAAATTGTTTTATATTTTTTTTTAATTTCATGAACAGTGATTAGTTTAAAGAACTAAATAAAACAAAAATTTGAGGCAAAAAACACAAAAAAGTTTCGAACTAAGATTTAATATTGTGTTTTGAAATATACTATTTTTCGATTAATTTACAGAACTAAAAGGTTGCTAAAAGAAAATGTTATTAAAAACAACTATAAGAGGTTGAAAAAAAGAAGGCTTCTATGAAAATATTGTGCAATATATTGAATAAATACATATATTTGGAAGCATCATACTCTTGAAATTTCATGAATACAAAAAATTAAATAAAATTAGTAAGGTGAAATAAAAAACGACAATAACCTAAATTGTTGTTAGTATTTTTAAATAATAATTTAGTTGCAGTGATAACATGCGGCTAAATAACAAATTGCGGTGCGGTTTCAAATTTTACTTTTGAAACTTACGATCTTTGGCGGCCATTTTTACTTAATTAAATAAACCTGTTTTATAAAAAATTAAAATATAATAATTATTGAAGGAATTTATATTTTATAAAATCTCTTAATTATAAGTCTGTCTTCGTACTCGATATTTTGTAACAATTTGTACAAAATTTTGATAAAACTGGATTCCAAAAACAATGTTTCAGTGTTAATAATATAATGAACAGTATAATTCGCTAACATTTATAAGAAAATTAGTCTTGTTTTAAATATAATACACGGGGTGTTAAAATTTTGCTCACAGATTTATAGTATTGGAGGGGAATCGATCATTTCAGTTTTTGTGAATTATGTTGATGTTATCAGAAAAACTTAATAAAATGTATGGTACATACACTGGTGGCCAAAACTAAAGAAACTAAAATTGCAAGGTTAATAAATGCTTCTTAACTTTTATTTTTATCGAATTATAAGTTTTTTTAATCAAATATATCAGTCGTGGCAGTTCATCACGGAGGGAGCCCATGAGAAACATCAGTTCGCACTGATCATCAAATTGTCATAGCTGAAAAAATACCCATTAAATAGTTCAAGGGAATGGGTGAGAGCGTTATAGTTGGATATAACCACAAGACCAGAGCGTGGAGGAGCTGTGGTAGCAGGTGTATACACCCGAAAACTATCAAGAAACCTCTTTTATTTCTGAAAAGAATCGAAAACCGACTCATCGAAAAATATTTTATCCTCGGATAAATTAAAGTTTAACCCATATAACCCCATAGATCTTTTTTCAAAATCATGAATTTAATTTTAAAACTTTAATATTTTATTAATAAATTATTAATTTTAAATCAAATTTAGATGCAGCAATAAGCTTGGAGAGTATAGAACAAGATACGACAATAAAATAATTTATAGAAATTAATATATAATTGTTTTCTAGAAGTGATATTGTAAGTTTTTGGTGAGTTGATATTAAAGGCTCAGACACGAAAGAACTAATGTGAGAAGGTAAAAAATTAAAGGCTCAAGCCTCAGTATTGCAAGGGTACTGGGAAGCATTTGGGTGTTTTTCTTTTTATGGAGTTCGATATATTTATGAAGTAATAGATCGGATTGTTTATATAAATGTGTTGAAAACTCTATAGTTCCCTTCGCCGAAGAATTTATATCACGCTTATTTGAGTGTTACAGATTGACAATTACCACCAATCAAATATCCTGGTTTTATAAGGGCCAAAACAATGATCAGATCTTCACCCTGTAGAAAAATTCTTAAAGTATCATAGATAGCAAAATCAAAAAAGTTTCACAAACAGACATTACCAAAGGTTCAGGATACCCAAGGATGCAATTGAGCATTTTATTGATTCAATGTCTCGTAGGTGTGCTACCGTAATGAAAAATAATGATTATGTTGTCGATTTCTAGCAAAATTTGATTAGTTATAAGAAAAAATCAAAAAGTTGCTTTAGTTTTGACCAAGGAAAAATTTGATCTATTTAGTTTTTCAAAATAAATTTTGCGTTTATACCTTTTGTTTTTAAAGTGAATAAATTAATAAATAAATAAATTGAAATTGATAGGTGAAATAGGGTTGCCATTATTAATTTCTCAAATGAGACTACCTTCTGTAATTATGCCATGTCAGAGTACAAAATAATTCGAAAAGTTCAGGAACGCAAATCTAGTAAATATACCAACATTAGATGGCAATTCGTCAAAATCAACATAACAGTCAATCAGAAGTTGGCATTCCTGTTTACCATTTTTACTCGAACCAAGGCCTATATAAGGTCGGACAGTAAGGACATCTGAGTAATAAGTTTGCTGTCAAATCATAAACCTAAGTTTTCTTTTTGAATTCGCTTAATGGCCGATCTTATATAGTCCTCGACTTGGACAAATTTTTCGAGTAAAAAGTTTACAAAGAGTTTTGTGTTCTCTTAAATTTGGTTCAATGTTTTACCAATTGTGTGGGTTTAGGAACGGTTTTCGAGTAAAAAGTTGCAAAACTTGTAAAATTAGTAGATTCTTTTAGGTTCTGGAACGAAACTTTTCAGATCATTCATTTGCTTTAGTTTTCGGTCACCAGTGTATTACAACCGTCTGTTGGGGAAAAATGTGATCCTATTGTTGGAAATGTTTTCAGTTACACGAAAGACAAGCGAGAAGGTGGTCTGAGGACCAAAATTAATAAACGTACTGAGCACATAATTATTGCAAAAATTATGCATATACCTCAAATTTTCATAAGAACGTTTACAAGGGAGCTCGAAGAAGAGTGTGTTTTAAAGTTTGTCAAGAAACAATTCGACAGACTGTATTAAAAAACAAATACTCGTCAAGAGCAGGACGCAAAAACCCTATACTATATGCAGCAAATATAGGCAAGAAGTTTTTATTCACAGCCGACAGAATATGGGACTCGCCGGGGTATGGCGCAAGCCTTTAAAAACACTTGAAAGGCAGAATATCATCCCAACAGTCAAATTTGGAAAAATGTCAATAATAATTTTGGGATGCCAATAAAGCTAGGGTGGGGGAGATTTAGATTTTATAGGAACAACAATATATGCACAACAATATTTAGACATTAAAAAATGAACTTAGGGTTCATCAGGGACAACCGACCAACTTTTTAAATTTTATCAGGAAAATTATCCTAATCATAAGTCACATATAGTGCGGATGTATCTTCATTGTACCATAGCCCTATAGAAAAAGTGACTATAGGGCAACCAGAAATAAATAAATAAATAACTTTAATAAATGAACATTTGTGTTTATTACCAGCAAAATTTAAAAAATATCATTTATTCAATGTGTAAACTGATTTTTGACATATTGTATGTCCGACAATTTATATGAAATATTAAGGGCGAAATAAAACATTTTTTTCTATTTTTCCTATTTTAAGATTCAAGTCATTAACCTATATATTTTCAAGATTATTCAACGTATTGTTTTGTTTTTTTTTCTGAAATGTCTTTATAGTTTATTGGTTGTTATAAAACCATGTGATATCACATTTATTACTTTTATAATATTCGTTTTTAATTGTAATTTTAGAAGAGACAAAACTTCGAATAAAATAAATGAAATAGAACAATGTTTCACTTTAAAATAGCTTCATGATGCCGGCAGCCCATCGCTTCTTTTATTTTTTTGGATAACACTTAACAATTTTTTTCAAGGTCATGCAATGATATTTGTCAAAATGATCTTGTTTTGGTAAAAATGTATCTCAAAGATTCAACAATATTGGCAAATTTGTTTTTTTGTGTTCTAGCACACACCGGTATTTTATTATCAGTGCCAAGCGTTTCCAGAGGCCAATAGGCGAGGATAGACAAACAACTTTTATTTTTTTCGAATACAAAAAAACAAGTTATTTATATTTTGTCAACGTTGTCGAATTCTCCAAAAAAAAAAAAAAAAAACTATAGACAAGAATACTTATGTTGATTCTTTCTGAACCACCCACTTCAGCTACGCAGTACTGTTAGGAGGGGGCCTATGAATATTTCTGTACGTCTGTGTGTATTTTTACTTATCACAACGATGTATTTATTTTTATATCATAACACACGTGCTCATAGAAAAACTACTATGAAAAATTTACAAAAAATGTACAGATATTTTTCTTTAGAAATTTCCCTTATTAATTATGAAAGATTTTCTCAATTCTCACACACCACATAATTAATTACATATGTCTTTATTATGTTATTTTTGTTTAAAGTCCATTTTATTTTTTTTTATTATTAAAAACATATTTGTTTTTTTTTTTAATTTTTTTGTATATTCTTATCACTAATTAATTGTTATTTTGTTTACTTACAATGTTTGTTAATTTGATGTTGGTTTTTTCTTAAAACGAAAAAAAAATCACTTTAGTTTCCAACTGCTGCTGTTGGTTGAACCTGTTGCTAGAAAGGGGGTCTGTTACCCACGAGTCAATACTCCAGACTGAATATTTTTTTCTGCTAGTTGTTGAACATCAACATATAGTTGCTTGGTTGGTTGGTCGGTCGGTTGCGTGTTTAAGGGAGATATTGGAAACAAAAAAACTAAAGAGAAAGTGAGCAAAAAATTGTTCTCACACGCTGACTAAAAATAAATGTTGCTCTTGTTTTGGCTAATATTAAAATATTGACGTTTAAAAATCTCTAAAAACATTAATATGTGATTTTGAATTCAATTGATTGTAAGTGAATATTAAAGTGTACGGATACTTATTCTGGTAAAGGTTCTTGAAAACCATTTTTGATTCCATTTTGTGAATCTAGAATTTCCACAAGGCGTGGATTTTTTAAAAAAAATTTTCCAACACCTATACAAGGGGTGAATTTTTTAAATTATTTTTTCCAACAACTATGCAAGGAGTAGATTTTTTTAAAATTTTTTTTTCCTACACCTATACAAGGAGTAGATTTGTTTAATAGTTTTTTCCAACACCTATACAATTTTTTCAACACAATGTCATAAAAATGGATTTAATCCTAGAAATACCCCTGCAAGCATTTGGAAGTGAGTTTCTAACTCCATCTTCAAATAAGTATCTACTTCGACACTTATTTTTTAATAAAATGGTGATACTTCGTAATTTTACAATAACAAATTAGTTGTTATCCAATTTCGATCGTCTGTAGTAACTACTTAGTTAAATGAAAGAAGATGGAAATTCGATAGTTTCATAATTTAACCGTCGTTTTATAAATATTTGTCATCGAATAAAAATTTGTGGCTAATACTAAATTTTCATTATAAAAAATCTTCGGCCTGAAACCTTTTTCATTGCTGTATCAAATAATATAGAGAGGCGCGGAAAAATATAATTCACGTGTAAAGTAGATTCATGTTCATGGATGTATAACTCTTTGGTTATAAGTACAAGTAAAGAGGTATCATTTGGCACATTCGTCACTCAAAGCAAACATGAGCTCTACATCATAAAAGGCAATTGAATTGAGAATCAAGAGGGAGGCATCTGGATTATTTTCAACCTTTTTCCCAAAGTCAACACCGCAAAAGGTAATGCGTATTGAGCAAAGTAGAACATAAGAAGGCAACGATATAGGTGTTTTTGAATAAAATTTTATGCATGTCGAATGGCATATTTTTAAAAAAATTAAAAATGTATACTTTCTGTAAATAAATATCTCAATTTTTTTTATTAATATTGCTCTTAAGATATAATAATAGATGTTACAAATTACATTTATAGAATACAGAAACTTCAAGATAATAAACATTTTGCAATTATTGCCACTGAACACGTGTTGTGCGTACATTTCGAAGGATGATATATATTTTCATTTAAATTTTGAAAGCTGAATGTTGTGAAAAGTAAAATTATGAAAAAATTGGAATCATATGTATGCATGAGACTACCTGGTGTAATTATTCCATGGTTTATGGAAAAAAACTGTTATTTATTTAATGTGTAAACTTATTCTTGACATACTGTGTTTTATGGGATCTTCGGTGAATATATCTAGGTGCTGCAAACGGAATTAGGAATTTAATATACATTCCACCTTATGGTGTGGGCTATAAAAACGCTATATTGTTACTACTAATTGTGAGAATTATTTCGTTCAAAAATAAACCATATGCTCAACATATTTGGATAAAATGAGAGCCCCAACATAACACAAAACATAATTGCCTGCTATCGGCGGACGACAGACAAATTTACATACGTACGTCAAAATATAAATATATACGTACATATGTTGGGAGGGGGATACTAAACATGAGAAGGGGACGCAATAGTGCTCAAATATAGCTCAAATCAAGCTCCTAAAAACCAGATACTTTATATGCGATAAGGCAACTGGTTCTGATCAGCAAAATACGCAAATCAAAAAGAAAAACAAACAACAACAAAATAATAAACAAAACCACAGAAAATGGGGGCCGGTCTCCTCTTTTACCAAACTTGAATATTTATCAATTTCGACCAAGTGTTTTTTTTTTACTGGATTTTGGTTTATTATTTGTTGTTTAGTATGTTTATAGTTTCGTTTTATCAAAAGATAACACATTCGTACATACAAACTTATATTTGTCTGTCTGTCGGTATTGCTGATATTAGTAGTGGTGATGTTGTCTTATGCTGTTGTTTTTAGCATTTTTAATTATTTTTGTCTTTTAGCGTGGATTTTTGTTTTGAAAATCGAAAACCATATTAAGACAATACAAAATTCGCTATGAGCATTGACATTGAAACAACCTTTAAAGGCAAAAATTAATCATGAGAAGGGTTGGGATCTAGAACTATATATATATATATATATATATATAGGTGACCTAAACTAACGTAACTAAATTGTAAACGGAATAAATGACGTATAACTTTTCCAAAAAATTAAATTATAGTGAAAGTTTTTCAAAAATAAATAGGTTATTTATTCATTTTTAAAAACAAATAATTCAAACGAAAAATTGGTTTTGAAATAAAAATATTATATGGAAAAAAATTTTGGCAGGACAAAACTAAAGCAAATTTTTGAGTTGTTCTTATAAATATGTAAATTTTGTTAGTAATCGACAGCACATGGCAAATTTATGGAAGGTAGTCTCATTTGAAAAATTAATAATAGCAACCCTTTTGGAATTCGTATATCAATCCAAGGTATATTTAATAAGGTGTATGCAAGGTGTATTAATTAAGGTGTATGCATCAGATACAAAAACAAATATTTTACAAAAACAACATTTTTGTTATAGAAATTAAATTGTCATGCTGACAATAAGTTTTTGACAAAAATAAACAAAAACAATTATTAATTTATTTTTGTCAAGAATAATGAGGAATAATTAATGAATTTGTGTATTCTTGGGTTATTAGCGGTTTTAGGTTAGTGAAAAATAAAGTTTAAGACCTGGTCGCGATTAATTTTAATTTTCCCACATGCAGCCCATGCCTCCTTGTGATCTTGTTTATATTGTGAAGTACAATCTATTTTTTCTATGGAGTGGCTTGGCTTCTTAAAGAAAATTGAAGAACATAAATCCCTTGCCTCAAACTAAATATCGAAATTTTTATTGTTTTTATTTGGAGGTTCCCTACAAAAACCTGATATATTATGAACGAAAAAATCGCAATTTGAGACCTATTGGTATCAATTTAATAGGCTTTCATTAATATATTTCAGTTGTCAAAAGTTTAGACAAATTCAAACATTTTAGTAAATGTCTATCTAAAATGATTTTTCGCGCTTCAAGTAAAATATCTAAAATATGTGATATGAATATAACGACTTGTTGCATTTGTTTTTCTGACATTAGGTGTGTCTGGTTACTTTTCCAGTAACATTTATTCAGTAAGTTCTAGTTTAAAGAGTAAGCCGTTTTTAGTCTCTTTTGCTCTTTTACTGAGAAAAGTAAACAGACGACATTTAGTAAGATTTAGCAAATAAACAGCTGATTCAAGAAAACATTTGATTTGCGCCAAAATAAACAACAAACAAAGGACGGACACAATTATTTTTATTGCATTTAATATTAAAAATATAATGAATAATAAAAGAAAAATTGATTTGGTATGTTCCCCGGGAACATTTAAGTTTCCTGCATCAATACATTGTCCTCTATCTGGAACTTACCTAAAAATATATAAGGAATTAGTTTCTAATTTAATGAAACTTTGCTTTTCTTCCATTCTCTGTAATTCTTATACAACTTAACTTCAAATTGAACTTTGCAAATTAACAAAAATGTTTTGAATAATTTTTGTGTTTGGTCAGAAAACAGCTGATCAGAAAATGGCTGAGTTGCAAAATCTTACTGACTAAAATTCTTTCAGCAAACTCCAGCAACTTTGTTGTTGTTCAACTGTCAAACTTGCTCTCTCACTTGACTCTCTTTTACTGGATTTTTGTGTAATATATATATATATATATATATATCCAAATCGGAACGGATTCTAGACTCAATGCGGTAAGCTATTTCCACGAATCTTTAAAGACTTCATTCTATACTCTATATAACACTATATGCACAAAATCGTCATAATGGGCGAACTTTGAGTGATTGATGCAGCATATACATCAAATCGGACGAAAATATATAGGGGGATATTTCCAAATCTTAACCGATATGAACCAAAGTTTACATTTCCATTTTTGGCAAAAAGTCAATTTCAGGTAGAGCCGATAAAACATTACATATTTGAAATGTGGGGACTTTGCTTACGCCAGTAACATTTTATAACATTGTGGGTCACGGTTTACAAAATCAAAATTTCATATTTTTGTGAATACAATTTACCTACTTTTGAAAAATGGTATATAACATTGACACGTTTCAAAATATTAACATGAAATGATGGCCCATTAGCAGAAGGGATTATAATGGAAGTGGAAATTTAGCAATTTAAAGATGATAATAAAAAAATCCCATATAAATTTCATAAATATAATTTAAAAAAAAGTTTTAAGATCTAGTGCCAACCAGTGTCAGGGGATATTTATAATAGTTATATAACCAATCGACGCCTTGATATGTTCTATGTCCTGAATTTTGCAACCGTCTGATACCGTTAATAAAATTAATAGTTATTGTCGATAATATAAAAATAGTTGTTGAAAATTTCCTTTTAGAAATTAATAATAAAATTAAAATTGACTTTTACTAGCATTACATTCTGATGATAAAATTGGAAGATATTAAACTAACCTTCAACCAAAATATGATAATCACTTGGTGCCAAGTCATGACTGTATGGCGGATGCATTAAAGCTTCTGTAGATGTGTGTGGTCTAGCGTTGTCCTGGTGGAACACGACACCTCCCCTGTTGGCCAATTTTACTGTTTACTAGCATTGCATTCTGATGATAAAATTGGAAGATATTAAACTAACCTTCAACCAAAATATGATAATCACTTGTAGATGTGTGTGGCCTATGCGTTAAAGCTTCTGCAGATGTGTGTGGCCTAGCGTTGTCCTGGTGGAACACGACACCTCCCCTTTTGGCCAATTCCGGCCGTTTCTGGTCAATTGTAAATGGTTTAAACAGTTTTATGGTCGATTTTTAGCTCGTGGGCGATATTACGACTGTTAACATGCCGGTCAACTTCAATTATTTCTCCGCCGACTTCAATTATTTCTCCGCTTTATCGACATTTTCGACGACCGGCCTACCTTTGCGAGGTGCATCTTTAACATCAAAAATTCCTGAATGGAATATTTGAAACCAAAATTGCACACAATTGGCTGTTGCAGTATCGGAACTGTAAAGACCATTTACAATTTTAACCGCTTGGCTTGCATTTTCGCCTTTGTCAAAGAAAAACTGCAAAAGGTACCGAATTTTCTCATTGTTCACTTCAATTTTTAACACCCTTTAACTCACAACTGAATGTACCAAACAAAAAATAGCAAAATAATTTTGTTTACTGCGAAATGTCACCTTTGGAACGAGCATATATCTGAAATTGTTTGATCGATACTTTACGAGAAATCTATCAGTGCTGCCATCTCCCGAAAAAATAATGGATTTCTTTTTCCCCAACCTAATGTATGATTTCGTGCTATTCTTATTTTAAATACTGTCAATGAAATATTTACTTTTTTCTTATTTATCCGCCATTTTGGATTCATTTTATTTGATTTTCAAAAACTGATTTCACATTCGTAGTACAAAACGTGTTCAAAAATAATTTGGTTAATTCAACTTTTTAAAAAATTGATCGCCGTTTTCAATCCACCTTATTAAATTTCATAAACCCACTGCTCAAATTATGGCCAAAAATTAGATCTCTGGTCCATCGTCCACTCCGTCTATTTTATCCAGTCTTACAAGGAACCGGCAACACTGTGCATCGTAACAGGATATTCAAATATCAACACATTGTTTATATTCTACATTATTTTATTTATTTAACATGGAAATTTCATTATTTCATTATATATTTCATTATTATTTAATAAATTAGATCTTATAATGTATACATATGTTGCAAATTATACATACATACTTACATACATATGCAGCAAAGTTAATTATTACTATAATGACTAGAAATACTTGGTACCAATGTTTGTTGGTAGTTTAATTAAATTATATAAAAATTAATATTAATCATACGTTTATAAAACATTTACACATATATATGTATATATATATGTACGACTCATGTGCTTTATATACATATGCATTTATATACAAATAAATATATTGATGGAAATTTTTAAAAATATCTACGATATTCATTAGCTCTACCGAATCCACTCGCATTGCTACCTCCTAAATATTACGTTAAATGATATAGAGATTTACTATCACCAACAATATCGACATCACTGCCTTCGCCATCATCGTCCATATCTTCATCTTCTAAATCGGAATAATCATCAGTGGAATAGTCATTGTGAATAAACCCGATACCACCACCCGCACCACCGCCACCAAGTGCACCATTGCCGTCTGTCATAACATGGCCATTGGAGGATATACTGCGCAACATTTGTAACTGATGATGACTGGCGTGATGGGGATGTGAGTGCGGTAGTTGGGGGTGGTGGTGATGATGCTGCTGCTGTTGTGCAAGATGATTATGTTGTGTGCCGGATGATGGGTTACTCGAGTGTAATGCTGCCTTGGCTGCTTCACTTAGCCCGTTGGCTGTATTTCCATTTGTTGTAGTGCCGCCGCCACCATTGCTCAATGAAATTTGTGATGAGACCGAAGATGCTGACGATGAGCCGGATGACGTTAAGGGGCCATTTTTATTATTGCCATTACCACCACTGCCACCATTTGCATTGCTGCCAGCTCCATCTGAACGTGAGAAGTCAACTGGTTCTGGAAAAATTGAAAAACGAAGAAAATTTGTTTGGTAAGTTATTTTGCAATTTATTTCAATATTCTATCGTCTTACGAAATTGTCTAGTCTAATTGGATTTACAAAAAGACACATTTTTCTTTTCAGTCTAAATGGAAAATGGTTAACATGACTTTCTTTACATAGTTAGGTTGTTGTGGAGAAGTTTGGTTTGAAGAATATTTTCTTTGAATCCCCCTTTTTGTTTTTGCCAAAGACGACGTTAAAAGTAGTTAAGATAGTTTATTTTTAATGGATTTCATATTTAATAGTTTGAAAATTGTGGTTTTCATCATTGTCTTGTAAAGAAAGAATTTTTGCCAACAAATTTCTAAGAGGTCAATGAAAGTCTTGGACTAATTAAATAAAATTTGTAATTCACCATGAAGACGAAAGTCATATCAGTTTTGCATTTGGGAGTAAACAAAATAAATGAATAAGAATATAAAACAGCAAAGGGTTTTGAAAAATGTGGTGTTCATATACAAGTTCAGTTTTAAGATTTAGAAGAAAAGTAAAAAAAAATGTCAATGTTCAATGAATATAAAGAATTTCTACGGCTGTCTCCAGGGGAATAAAAATATAAGTAGTTTTTGGCGAACATCATAAACCAAAATCTAAGGGAGATGGAGGGTATCTAGTAAAAAATTTAATGTTAAGTTCGATCGGACCTTAATATGGTGAATATACGCAAATCTTCAAAATACCAAAAGTTGCCAATATAAAAACGAAGACAGATATTGATCAGGAAAAAGTTAAAACGCTTTCATTCGTTTCAGGCGATATAACGTTAATACTCACCGAAGCGACTAATTTAGAGAACTCAGTGCTGTTCCATCATTAGAGAAATGAGGAACTTTATTTACTTCAAAATCATAACGAAGCTACTTGCAAAGCTTTAAAAGAAAGTAACGAGTTCAACCGAAAAATATATTATGTCTTTGAGGATCGAGAACTCGAAAATGTTCTTCAGAGTCTAATACAGACGACAGACGACAGCCTTAATTTGCATACTTAATTTGAATTAATATTTACCCCTGACAGACGAGAGTTTCTGCATTTACGAAACATTTTTTTGCTACAAAACAAACGTTTGTCTGTGTGTAGTATGAACATTTTTTACATTTGTTTCGATATTTTTCGGGATTACATCTATAGGAGATATATACATGACATAAAGGAGGAATAGTGACTATCATCTTAGCAAAACAGCTCCCAATTTAAAAAATGGTTGAAATTTGCCTTCATTTCATATTTTTATTTTCATAAATATAAATAAATTTGACAAGAAACAATTAATTTTCGACAGCATTGCCATATTGAAATTGCCTAATTCAGTATAAATTCAGTTTGATTTTGTGCATTAACAGCACATAAAAATGAGGATAATGTACAAGTTAATTTGAATTAAGGCTGTTAATGCAAATTAAGGCTGTAGTCTGTCTAGGCTATAAGAGATGAAGAGAGAATTAGAGAAATGAGGACCTTGATTTACTGCAAAATGAAAATGAAGCTACTTCCACGCTTTAAAAAAATGTATTGAGTTCAACCTGGAAAAAAAGTATGACGTTTATCCTAGTTCATACGATAGCTATACACTCACAGAGAAATGTGTAAAAATTTGGAATCGATTGGGTTATTAGTTTTTGAGTTATCGTGCCCGCTATTCGCATAAGAGAAAAACGCGTTTAAATTTTGAGAAGCCCTTTAGCCGTCACTTGATGCTGACACAATAAATCGGCTATATCTTCAAGAGTTATTGAGATTTTCACTTTTAGTAGGGACATTCTTGAATTAATGTAGATTCACATTAAATCAAAAAAAAAATTTGACCCCGAGAATGGGGGGTCCCCTTAATTATGCCCCTTTCATGGTAGTCCTCCTCTCTAGTTGTCGATTATCACAATCCTCCCTAGATACCAATTTTTTATAATTTAAGAAATTTTGCAATGCATGAATAATATGATAATCGCTTGGTGCCAAGTCCGAACTGTATGGCGAATGCATTAAAACTTCCCAATCAAGCTCCCGAAGTTTCTGGTGAGTCACTGTAGATGTGTGTTTCAGAAGTTTCCATGTTGGCCAATGGTGTAAAACAGTTTTATGGCCTACCTATGCGAGGAATCTACGAAACCAAAATTGCACATAATTGGATGTTACAGTTACAAGGCTATTAACCCTTTTGGAAGAGTAGTAAGCTATCTCTCATCTCCTTTCATTGTAACAATTGGCGACGGAGACTTAAGGTGGGCCAAGGATCTGGAATCTCTAAGAAGAGATACAAGGGAATTGTATAAAAAGGCACGTAAATCGAAGATTAGCACTGATTGGGATGCATTTAAAGGGTGCGACTAACAAGGCTAAACGTAAGTCTTGGATTTTCTTTGGTGAGTCGATAAAAACGGTTAATTAAGTTGCAAGATTTTTGAAAATTATATGACAGTACCCTAAGTCCATTCGTTGCATTAAATGAAATCAACACCAGTTTAGAGAAACAAATATTCATTTGTCACATTACATTTGTCACATTAAGACCGATTTCAGTCCATGAGTGATGAATCTCTGATAAACGATCAAATTAATTAGTTGTAAACCCTACAAATCTCCTGGACATAATGGTATAATTGATACCACTGCCAAAATTCCTCTTAGTCCCCACACCAATGAGAATGCAAGAAATAGAAAGAATGAGGAATCTGGATGTAGAACCTCAAAATCTATTTGGCCTGCAATCTCCACGCGTATATCTAAAAAATTGAATTATATGGGAAAGATGAATGAACATGACAGTAGGAACCTTTACAGATCATTGCAGGACAAAGTCTCTCTTTTCAAAGTGGGAAATTGATAAAGTGGAATACTGCCGTCTATGTGACAATGATGAGGAGAGGCATCTACTCTTTCAGTTCCCCCCGTAGTATCTAAAAACGTAAAGAACTTTAAAACATGCTAAGTCGACTTAGCATACTATGGTTCGGAGGCGTCGATAAGAGGATTTCAGGCTTGACATGTTAAGTTGTTTTTTTTTTGTAAAATAATAAGGGAGAACGGCGTCCAAAATCGAGTTTCACTACGATATTTCTCTATATATTAATATCTCATACAAAGCCAACATAACAGGCCAGAAGCCCTCTCATGTGTTTCCCCCTTTAGAATGTATATCGCTTGGGAAATCGAACAAATAAATTCCCTCCTGAATTATTTACAGTGTTGCAAAAATTTGTCATGGTTGAGTTAACAACACTAACTTCTACTTCTTCCTTCGCATTTTTTCCTCTTTTTCTTTCATTTTCTTTTACGATGATAAACATTTGACCATTTTCAAAATAGGTGTCTTGTGGAGCGCTATTTGGCAGTCGCACATCCTCTAACATATACTAACTTACTATTTAAAAATATTAAATTTTTTTAAGTTCTAAAAATTTTAAATATTAACGGAGAACATGTTTGTGACATCATAAAATTCAACTCCTAAACTCTAGTTTCGCCCGCTTTCTTATAACAAAAAAATAGCAAAAAGTCATTAATTAAAGTTTATAAATATACACAACTTACCATTTAGGACATCCCTTCGTCGAAGCTGTTTTTTGTGTTTCATGCGACGATTTTGAAACCAAGTTTTCACTTGGGTTTCACTCAAACCCAACGATGTGGCCAATTCAACACGTTCGGGTGTCGATAAATAACGTTGCGCCTCAAAACGTTTTTCCAAACCCGAAAGTTGAGGGTCACTGAAAACGGTGCGCGCCTTACGTCTGCGGCAATGGCGCAAAGCGTTAACACCCATGCCCAGACCAAGGGCCAATTCAGGCATGCAGCCGCCGGCAAATAAGTGGCCACCACCAAAGAGACCAGCTGTGATATTGACCATAGAAGAAGAGAAAGAAAAACAAAAAATCAATTTAATAGTGTCCTTAGTTTTCCACAACAACAACATTAGAAACTAACAAACAAGATAATTGAATTATTATTGACATGTTTAGGGTCATTTGAGCAAAAAACACATTTGAACCCTAATCAAATATTGTGGGTGGGTGTTTTGAAACAAATTTCTAATTTCCAAACAAAACACATAACCAACCACATAAAGAGTAAGAGGGTGGGAGGTGTTAATTAAATTTGTAAATACCCAAAACATGTCTATAAAAATTGTTGTAGTTTATTTTCTGGGCACTTGTCCTTACCTTGTGACAGAAAATAGGGATCCACCGATTTGTATGCACCCGATGAGGGTGACAAATAACCCAAGGTCATTTGTAGAAATCCATGATCACTGTACGCTGCACTGGGATATAAAACACTGCTGGGCGGTGGTGGTGGCGGTGCATGAGGGTGTGTTGACGGTGTTGTCAAGACCGTCGGTTGTGGATGATGCGGCTGTGGTGTTGCTGGATAGTTATGTTGTTGCTGCTGTTGCAACGAAGATGTATTGGAAGCGGCTACTGGTGTTGTGGTTGCATGTGATGTTGTCGTGGTACTTGAATCTGTGGTTGTTGCGACCGCATGACGTTCTCCTGATTTGAGAGATCTATAAGAAGAATAAAAAATTTGATTTTTAGGGATGAGTTTTCAAAAAATCGTGGTTTCAGCAGTATTTATTAGCTACATTGATTGTAAACACAATATTTTAAATTCGAAATTAATTTTGCAACACCTCGAAATATTCACCTGAAATTCGAGCTTGCAATAATTTTGTACATATATTGTTATTACTCCTAGGATGTTTTGTATTGAAGCGCCTATAAGGTAAGGTAATGGTCATTATTTGATGTCTTGGGCACATTTTTTTAACCGAGTTTTATATAGTTTGATATTTATTATTTTATTTGGGTCCTTAATTATCCAACCAAAAATTTACCAAGCTATGTCATATAAAATGCCGATCGATTTTAGTTTTTTGAACATCAAGCTCATATTAAGTTGTATAAAAAAATCAACCCGGCGTTTTTCGTGGTCCAATCATGGGGTTCTTTATTTATGTATGTGTTCTAAACGTTCTGCAGACTATAATTATCATCCGATTGTTATGAAATTTTACACGGCAAAGTTTATGCCGTGTTATTTATACCCAAGAATAACGATGGCATTTACAGGTTCTAATGGACAAAAGCTTTTGGGCGAAAAAATACTATACGAAGACATGGTACAGACAATGTTGCCAATATATTTCAATTACATTGATGTAAGTAGTTAGAAATTAACCATTATCACATTATATGGGACTAAATTCCCGAAATTTAGAGTTGTTTGTTGTTTTGTTTTAGTGCTTTATTTGGATATGAATCAACATTAACTCTTCCTACAGTCCAGTACTTCTATACAACTTACAAGTCTACCTAAACCGCCAATTTTGTATCTAGCGTATTTAGTAAACACTGCTTTCTTTTTTACAGAAATTGTAAAAACCGACGGACTTACGTATGAAGTATTTATATGTACGAGGGCAGTTCGGAAAGTTCATAGCCTAGCACAAAGCGCTGTATAAACAGAAAAAATTTAGTGTTTTGGAAACTTCCATCTGTGTTATGAACACATGTTAAATTTGGTTTCGATCCGGCAACTCCTTCAACAAAAACATTTTCGTCTGAAAAGGGTTTAGAAGAACTCAAAATGACTTTTTTCGAATGGAAGCGAAAAAACCTTTCGATCGACTTAGTGAAACTGACTGCAAATCTATACTTGTTTAACATTGTAACTGAACCCAAGGTAGTGTGTTAGGCCCTCTTTTATTTAAAATATATATTAGCGATCAGAAGGATTTTAAAATTTCTGGTAAATTATTCTTATTTGTTGATGGCATATATTTGTTGTACGGATATAAGTACGAGCACGTCTTACAAACTCAAGCGGAGTATGATTCTGCTATTTTATCCGAATGCTAGGATTAACAAGTTACTCATAAATCCGAATAAGACTAAATTTATTAGGTTTCAACCTCATATGAGCAGGCCTAGTCATGAAATGGCTATTCATGTCAAAGGAACACGACTTGTTGAATCGCCTAGTGTAAAATATTTGGGCATAACTTTAAGCAATAATTTACAATGCAACCTGTATATAAACCACATACAAAATAAAGTGTCTGCTGCTACAGGAATATTATATAAATTCAAATCCAAATTTGACACACAAACCAAAGCATTTATACACCAGCATTTATATATCAAACGCTTGTTCATTCCCATTAGACACATCTTCCCATTACTTAGGGATTTAAATTCAGCAGATCTTTAAAAATTCTGCAGATAGCTCAAAATGAAGCCCTAAAAATAGTTTACAGCCTACCACGTATATTCCCAACAATAGAACTTTACAAATACAAAACAGTAAATGTTTTACCTTTGCGAGGGTTATATAAACATCAGATTTTAATGGCAATGTTTAAAAATATAAAAGGGATAACCCTTTCGTTTTCGTTTCTATTTTGCCAAATATAATAAAAGAAAATAAATAAATAAAAAAAATAAAAACTGGGGAAACATCCAGAAAAGATGGGAAGTCCGTCTGGTCTGGTTTAGACCACAATTATTCATAATTTATATATATATATATATACTTTTGTTAAAGAGTTGGACCTCTGTGGAGATGTTCATTTTTTTATAATTTAACCCTTTATGGCAGAGGAACAAAAAGTAGTGGTCGTGGCTTTATTTAGGTTTGGTAAAATATTTCTTTCTTCAACAAAATTTTGACCATTTTTGGAGGAGTTACCAAAAGTATTGAACCTATATTACCTATCTTCGAACATTATTTAACATTATAGAAATATTACGATAGGTGAAGTTTGGATCGATTACTTCATTCGAGACTAATCTTGCGCACCAGCCTACAAGGCGGATTCTAAATCATCGGAAACACATTTAGTTCAAAGATACTTCGGATTTAAAAAAGCACAGCCCAAAATAGGTCCCAAGGGCTGTCGATGTGTGTCCAATTTGTCACACAAAATGAATATTTTGGTTGGATATTTTGTGCTGCATGGAGTGTAACATGAAATGTTAACAACTGTTAACTCCAATTCTTTGTTGGGTAGTTAATATGGATTCTTAAGAATCAAAAAAAAAAAAAAAACTAAATTTTGCCTGCCAATACCTGCCACTCTGGCCTTTAATGATGTAAAATATATGGTTTAATTTTTAGCCCCCCTTATCCAACCGAAGCAGCTGTAATTTCGCATATCGAGTATTTAGGGGTAGAATCCCCTCTCGCAGAAATGTTTTTAATATGGGCCCATGTTCCGGACTAGTCCCCAAGAAAAGGCACATTGCACGACTTAAAAAACAATGTCTGCTTAAAAAATAAATAAAAATTAAACTCATCGATTGTAATTACAGCTAAACGTACATTTTTATTATGAAAAATAAAGAACCATATAACTTTGAGAAAAACAAATTGTTTGATTTTTTAGAGCTTAACTTTAGAGCAGATTTTAATTAGAGCTTAACCAAATTTTCAACATTGCGGTTATGTACTTAAACTCATGTTAGATATTTGTTTTCACTAATTCGGAAAATTCGGAATTTACATTTGGTTTCGAGTGGTTTTAGCGGTCTAAACAGGCTTTAAGAAAATTAATTCACGTAATTTCTGTTCTTTTGTAGTTGTTTTTGGTACAAGTCCTGCTTTTCAAACACCATTCGAAAGAATGATGCCCGACTCTGGAACTAGGATTATTAACGTCGCACAAAAATTAGAAAAATAGCGGAGCTATGATATTATATTTTTGGAAATTTCCTATTTTCGACCCCAAATCAAATTAAAAAATAAGAAATATCTTAACGCGTTAAAAACGGAACGGATTGGCTTATTATTCGCAAAAACACAGTTGCGAAAAACGAGTTTAAAATTTGAGCCGTCTCTTGTTGCTTAAACAATCAATTGGCTATTGAGATTTTTTTGGAGATTTTAAATTGAAAATTTTAAGGGACATTCTTAATTTAGCGTAGGTTCAAATTATATAAAAAGGCGATTCTTTGAAACCGAGAAAGGTGTTCAAAATCGGAATACTGTAGGAAGATTTGATACACAATTAGAAACCAATATTCAAATTACTATCAATTCGATTGAAAAACGCGTTCAATTGCTTAGGATACTGATATAGCTCGATTGTTTCAATATGATCGACCAGTTGCGACGACAATTTGAACATCAAACCGTTTTTGTGATCAAAATAGACGTGTGTTATGTTTTGTTCAGATTTAGGTTCAGCTCCCACCGATTTTATGCAAATTGCTCACGAAATACTCAACTTTTTTCGATGTATGCAAACAGTGTAATTAGATAATAAACTCGGAGGTACCGCTATTTAAATGAGGTCAATCTTGAACATTTTTGATTGAAAGGTTTTTCAATATACCATACATTTTGTTGAAAAACGTGCCCAAAAACACATTAACGAAGTCAGGCGGATCCGTTGGTTAAAATGTGTTAAGTTTTTTTTTTTTAATTTATATACTTATATAATTTAGGTTGTCAAAAAATATTTTTGGGGTTTTCCAGCATGGACTCATATTTGGTCTGTTCCCGTACCACCACTCTCCGATAACCGAACTTACCTTTCTCTTTGTATAATCCTTTGATATTCTTCGGCATCGTGACGTCCACTTAATATTGGATGTTTATTTGCAGAATGATTTGTGTATTCTCCGGAAGGCAGTGATGTTGTTGATTTTAATTTATCACTAGTATTATTATTATTGTTGTTATTATTGCTAGTTAAATCATGATTATTATTTGATTTTTGTGAAGTTTTCGAATTATTAGTAACCGATTTTAATTTTGTTATACCACTACCACTGTTGTTGTTATTATTATTTGATGCACTATTATTGTTGTTGTTATTATTTAAATTTTGACACAAAATGTGTTCAATGGAAAAAGGAGTTTTCGACGATACCACCATTGTTGTATTTGTTGTTGTGTTAGCCGTTGAAGTGACTTGATGGTGTTGATGCATTGCCGTCGCCTGCTGTTGATGATGATGTTGCTGCATGATTTGTGGCAATTTGGCAACTAAATTTGTGGGCGACGAGGCAGGTGATGGCGTCCGGGAGTTAGCTGCTTTAAGTGTATTGCTTAAATGTTCAGTTATTTTTAAGGACATTTTCTGTTTTTATTTTATTTTTCTTTTCGTTCACCGAAAAACAATTTTTCTTTTGAATAAACCGATGTTAATTTTGAAACCCTTTTTAAATATATAAAATAATATAGCTACGCTCTATTTGATGAAATCGCGTTAAGTAATTTGCGAATCATTTAAAGCTGTTGTTTGCTCGTTGACGGTTGCATTAACAGTGATTTATGGCAAATGTACCGCAAAATCATTATCGATGCTTGAGCAGAACGTTTTCAGATGCATCTCCCATTTCCGTTTTAGAGCGAGACGCAGAAGGAATAACAACCCTCTAACCTACCATCCTGCCTTGTGACTGCAAATCAATTTAATTATCCTTGAATCATCCCCCAGGCTCTCAGTTTTTAAGTTCGGTGGCAAAAAAGAGAGTAGTGTTGCCAACAACCCCCGTTTCTGGTTGTCAAAGACCACGCCCCTATTTATTTGCAAATATTTCATATAGTTATCTCTTTCTCTCTGTTTTTGTTGGTCCTTACTCTCATTCACTTTTCATTTATTTTTGTGCAGATTTCTACTTCATGGTGGCTAACCATTTTCCTTTTGAAGGTTTGTTGGGAGGGGAGGTGGAGAAAAAAAAATTCCCTTAAATTAAATGACTATCATCCGGCAGGTTGTTGGTTTGCTCGATGGTTGGCTGGCTGACTGAATTGAATGGTTGGTTGGGAAATCAGTCATCAACTACTGGGACTCATATAATTTCCCAATTAGTGTGTTATTTTAGCCTTAAATAGGTTATATTTCACGTTTCACTGTTCAATGTTGATGGCGGTTCGTTTCTTGAGATAGTCGCCTCGACTCTTTGATATATCACTGGCATCAGCTACGTGAATATGATTACGATTATGACGATGTCGGAGGGAAATTACATAAAGGAAGAGTGTGATGTGATTTCATGGCACATCCGTTCATTAAACAGAACTCAGTGATTGAGGACGACGATGATGCTGCTGCTGACGATTACGATGACACTTGTAGTAGTCATCGTTGTAATTTTTATTATATATATTCAACCATAAATGACTTAAGTATTTTTATATTGATTTCCTCTCATCTTGTGTATTCATATACACATTATGTTATGTATATATATATATATATATATATACACGGACTTTCTCTTACACAATCGAAACGAAATTCGCAATTTAAATTTTATTCAGTATTTATTGGAGATATTTTGTGTATTACGCCATAATGAAGCTACTAATTAATATGAATAGAAATTCCAAATAATTATAATTACTAACAATTATCTGGTGATTATGTATGTATAGTTTAATGGTTTACTAAGAAGATTTTCTAACCACTGGGCTTTGAAAGTGATATAAAAGCCTTTAGAATAATTAAATGTTTTTCGATTTTATAGGAATATAGGCATTTACGGATTTAGGCAATTGTATTTAAGGGGACCCCACCCATTCTCGGCTTCAAAAAATTTAATTTTGTATTTTGATTTAATTCGAACCTACACTAATTCAAGAATGTCCCTATAAATTTTCAAGTGAAAATCTCTACAATTTTTGAAGATATAGCCGATTTATTGCATTAGCATCAAGTGACAGCAAGAGAGAATCTGAAACTTTAAACGCGTTTTTCTCCAAACATCGTTTTTACGAATGGCGGGCACGATAACTTAAAAAATAATAACCAAATCAATTTCAAATTTTGCGACGTTTGGTGGTCCTTAAAATGTGTATCCTAATATTATACACAACTCTAACAAATTGGGTACATATATCAATTAAAAACTTCGTTTAAGGGGACATCCCCATTCTCGGTGTCAGAAAATGTAATTTAGTTTTTTTTACTTAAGGGAACCCCACCCATTCTCGATTTTAATTTTTCAAGATTTTCAATGGGCTGGTAAATCAATACTAATGCTTGTTAAGGTTTGTAACTTTGCACATATATATTTGAAGATTTAAAAGAGAAGAAAAATAATTTACAAAAAATTGTTGTTTTTGCTTTGTTGTTGTTTTTTGTAATTAAAGAAAAGTCCTTACTTTTGATGGCGGGCATGATAACTCCTCACTGGAACATCGGAATCCGAAAATTCCAACGGTGTTAGAAAGAGTACATGTCTGGCTCTCGTATGAACTAGGATTATTGACTTCGCTCTAAAATTAACAAAATGGCGGACCTTTGAAAAAATATTTTTGGAAAATCGCCGATTTTTGACAAAAAACCCAAGTTAAAAAATAAGGAAGATCTTCACCGATTGGTTTATCCTAGTTCATACGATAGCTATACACTCACAAAGAAACGTGTAAAAATTTGGAATCGATTGGGTTATTAGTTTTTGAGTTAACGTTCCCGCCAATCGCAAAAGAGAAAAACGCGTTTAAAGTTTGAGAAGCCCTTTAGCCGTCACTTGATGCTGACACAATAAATTGGATATATCTTCAAGAGTTCTTGAGATTTTCACTTGAAATTTTGTAGAGACATTCTTGAATTAGTGTAGAATCGAATTAATAATTCGAGTCTACAATTCAATGTCCCTACAAAAATTTCAAGAACTCTTGAAGATATAGCTGACTTATTATGTCAGCATCAAGTGACGGCAAGAGTGGTTCTCAAAACTTTAAACGCATTTTTCTCGAATCACAGTTTTTACGAATGGCGAGCACGATAACTCAAAAACTAATAATCCGATCAGTTCCAAATATTTAAACTAGGATAAAGCCAATCGGTGAAGAACTTTCACATTTTAAACTTAGTGTCAAATAGGTAAAAAATAGCGAATTTCCACAACTATATGTTCAAAGGTCCGCTCTTTTGTTAATTTTTGACCGAAGTCTATAATCCTAGTTCATACGAGAGCTAGACATGTACTATTTCTAACACCGTTGGAATTTCCGGATTCCGATGTTCCAGTGAGGAGTTATCATGCCCGTCATGAAAAATAAGGAATTTTCTTTAATCACCAAAAACAACAACAGAACAACTACTACCAAATTTTGAAAATTATTTTTTTTTTCACTTTTAAAACATCAATTATATATGTGTATTCACTTACCAGCCCAATGAAAATCTTGAAAATTTAAAATCGGCCAGACATTGAATGATGGGAAATATGGAAAATTACAAAATTCTTTTATTCCATAAAAAAAAAAAATTTGAAAAATTTTTTTGCGAGCACATTTATGATTTTTGGTACATAGGTTAAGAAAAATATGCTGATTCGAAATATGTTCGTAAATCTTGTATTTCAAATATAAATTAAGGGAACCCCCCCCATTCTCGATTTTTTATTTTTAAGATTTTAAATGGGCTGGTAAATGAATACCAATGCTTGTTAAGGTTTGTAACTTGGCACATATATATTTGAAGATTTAAAAAGGAAGAAAAATAATTTACAAAAATTTGTTGTTGTTGTTTTTTGGGTGCAAAGAAAAGTCCACATTTTCGATGGCGGGCATGATAACTCCTCACTGGAACATCGGAATCCGAAAATTCCAACTGTGTTAGAAAGAGGACATGTCTGGCTCTCGTATGAACTAGGATTATTGCCTTCGCTCTAAAATTAACAAAATGGTGGACCTTTGAAAATTTTTTTTTTAAAAATCGCCGATTTTTTACCAAAAACCATGTTAAAAAATAAGGAAGATCTTCACCGATTGGCTTTATCCTAGTTCATACGAGAGCTATACACTCTCAGAGAAACGCTGCAAAATTTGGAACCGATTGGATTATTGGTTTTTGAGTTATCGTGCCCGCCATTCACAAACAAATGTTTAGAGTAAAACGCGTTTAAAGTTTGAGAAGCCCTTTAGCCGTCACTTAATGTTGATACAATAAATCGGATATATCTTCAAGACTTCATGAGATTTTCACTTGAAATTTTGTAGAGACATTCCTTAATCAGTGTAGATTCGAATTATATCAACAAAAATGTTGACACCGAGAATGGGAGGTCCCCTTAAATTAACTCCTATTTGTTGTAATTCGCGAATTTCTTCACAAATGGTTAAAAACATTTGATTTCTTTGTATACTTGTCAAATCACATTGAATTACGGTTAAATTGTCGCGAAAAAACAAATAGAAACATGAAGACATCTGAAAATAAAATAAATTAATGTTTTAATTAATTCGGAATGTTTTTTGAATTTTCGATTTTTTTAATCTTAATAAAATATGCGACGCTTTTTTCTTTAAATTCTTTTAGATGATTGTTAAATATCGGTATATTCATCTGATAACAGTATCGACTGTAAAAATGACTAAATATATTGCAGTTACAATACATAAAAATTATCAATATTTAACAGAATGCAATTCGCGTATTAGTTGAAATCAGTTGATGCGCATGCGGTTTTCGTATAAACCGAATCAATGTCTTTCAATAATTATGAATTTTTCTATGTTTAATTTAGCGTTCAACGTGTGCCGCAAAATCAGGCAACGTGCTTACGATGTTTATGCGCATCCAATTTCAGTAATCTCCTATGAAAATATACAAAAGGACACCTTTTTTAAAAGGATCGGTTAAGAACCGCGGATGTGCTCCACAATCGATTTTGGATAAAATACGCATATTATTCGCATATCGATATATTTTTGACCTATTTTTACACAGATTCGCGAATATGATAACACAGGAATGAATGAATGTGAAATCAATTCGAAGAAAAACGCGATTATATACGTGAATTTGCCAAAATAAGTTTTTGCAGTTTTTCCCACATTCAAGTAACCTATATCCGCCGTTTTATTGGGCGGAATTGAACATGGATGGGCTCATTAGATCCGGCACGTTAACAAAATAAAACCACGCGGAGTTCCACGGAATTTGAATGAACATTCTTAATTTTAGACTCAAAAATATGTTTTTTATAAAAATTTACGCACCAAATTTTCGTCTTTGGAACCCAATTGCAAAGAAGCTACGGTGAGCACATTCATGAGATATACACTAAACGAAGCAAAATACGAGTTCTACAATCCTATAATTAGTTTAGTCCATTATCT